CGGAAGAGCTTATTTATATACATAAGCTCTTTTTAGCTTATTTTCATAAGCTCTTCAGGATGGCTTCTAAATATAGCTTACAATTTATATAAAAACAGTTTAACTCTTATTTCTTCTTTCGAATATAGAAACAACTTATACATGAGTGCTTACATGATAAGCCCTTATTCAGTAAGCGCTCAATTAAGCTGTTTACCAAAATGGACCCTAAATTAAAGCTTCTATAGAGATTAGAGACTAATTGGAGGAGTTTTTACTTTCAAGGAGAAGAGAAGTTGAAAAATTTTGTTCCAAATGCTACAATGTTGATTCAGCAGGGTTTACTTAATGTCAGTGTTGATAGGAATTCTTGTTTATTTCCTTAATGTTGTGTTTAGGCACATAAAAGAATAATTTTGTCATAAGAACAAAGAAGGATTGAAAAAAAAATGATATTTTTATCAAAAAAAATTCCATTTATCTCGTACCTTATGAATTCATGTGCATTGGCCAGAGATGCTGCCCTTCTTATCTCAGATTCAGTTGTGTTTTCTTTCCCATAGGCAATATTTTCTCGAATGGTGCCAGCAAAAAGGGTTGGCTCTTGACTCACTAATGCAATTTGCGACCTCAGCATTCTCAAATTATAGGACTTTATGTCTTGTTCATCTATGCACACTGTTCCCTTTGCAGGATCATAAAACCTTTCAATAAGGCCAATAACAGTTGATTTACCACAACCACTGTGCCCCACTAGAGCCACTGTTTTCCCAGCTTCTACTTTAAGACACAGACCCTTGAAAATCATTTGATCAGGTCTACTTGGATATGCAAAGAAAACACTCTTAAGCTCCACTCTGCCCCTTATTTTCCTCTTTTTCTCACCACCCCATGAGGTATCAGGATCAATCTCAGTTTTCCTGTCTATGATTGCGAAAACTGATCCAACTGCACTGCTTCCCTTGGACAAGTCAGAAGTCATGCTTCCAGCATCTGCAATAATGTATGCAGTGAAGAGTAGAATTAAAAATGCTTGGAAGAGGTGCTTTGGTTCTATGTTATTCTCTATCAGGAGCCTCCCACCATACCAATAAGCCAATGCTGTTGATGAAGTGTTAAAAAACTGGGAGCTGAAAAGACCAAAGCCTGAAATCCAAGATTGCCTAATACTCTCCTTTTTAGGCCCCACCAATGTGGATTTGAAAAGTGCCAACATTCTTTTCTGAGAGCTGAAGGCAGTTATGGTTCTATGGTTTATAACAGCTTCACTTGCAAGTTGGCTTCCCTCCCTTTGTGCTTTGCGAGCTTTCTCTGCCATACTCTTCATCAAGACACTTCTTGCGTAAAAGCTTCCAATGACTAATGGCTGCACTGCTATCATCACAAGAGAAAGCTTCCACGTGAGCACAAGCCCTAGAGTGTAGGCAAAGACTGACCCAAAAACTGCTTGGGCCAACAAAGACATCCGATCCCCGACAAGGGAACGAACCAAGTTGGCTTCAGAGGATAATCTTGCACAAATGGATGCACTTGTGTTGTCTTCATGATCAAACCACCCTATCTCAAAAGACATCAACTTCTCTAGTATCTTCTCTCTTATTCTTTTAGTCAACCTTTCTCCCATAACTGCAAAGTTATAGTGTTGGAGAATACTAGTGAAGAAGTTGAAAACACCAATTCCTAAGAATTCGAGAGCCAGGGTTTTAGTTTTAGACTTCATCTTAGAACTTTCAGGTTCAAAATAAACTGATATAAGTGTTCCTACACAATATGCATTTACAGGTTGTACTGCTCCTGACCCTATTGCTCCCAAGATTC